CCTTTTGTAGCAGGGCAACAATGTTGTAGTCTTCCAGTGCACCTTTTGACTGTATGTACTAATGGTCTTGTCTCTTTGGCCTATGCAAACTTTTCTTGTAGAATTGTATAAAGTTTTCAACAATATTTTGCTTGACACAGTATTGCTCTAGCAAAATGCGAAACATTTAAATACAATTAAATTTCTTTTGAAAAATGGTATTAACATCTGTGTCAATATGTCAAACCATTAATTTTCCTATGACCTTTTTTCCCTTTTTCTACCACTGATCGTGTTTTGCTATCTAAAGTTTCTCTCTATATATTATAGATTATAGGCAAAACGCACTACATCTAATTCATCATTTTTTCTACTTAATCATTTAATTGTTTTCTTTAAAGTAAAGTTTCTAAATATGCTTCTGATCTGATTTGACGACAACTATACTTTTGGTGTAAACATTTTACAGCCACCAAGACCTCTACCTTTCCTCAGACGATCACAAATGTCTTCATAGGCAGGTTTTAACAATGTTTTTCTCCTTGCTCAAAAATAACATACTGGTACTTTTAATTTTTTTGCAAAAACATAACTTTCTTGGGCCTTTTCAGACTCTTGCTTGAGTTTTTAGTGTTGTTTTTTGTGCTTTTTATTTATGAATGTATGTGATGTTTATTCCGGTAGCTGTCTTGTCTATCATTCACCAAGAAAATATGTTACAATTTCAAAATTTCACATTCGGTTATGTTTCAGGGTTATAATATTTACATGACCGATCGTTTAGGAATTTGGTGAAGTGTTAGATAAAGATTCAATTACCAATACCCTATTGCGTGCTGCCTTTTCACTTGATATAACGTATCAACAAATTTTATAGGAGCAACACGACGGATGTTACATGTGGAGCAGGATCTGTTTAACCTTCCGGAGCACCTGAGATCACCCTAGCGTTTGATGGGGTTCGTGTTGCTCAGTCTTTAGTTTTTTCATGTTGTGTTTTGTGTACTGTTGTTTGTCTGTTGGTCTTTGTCTTTTTTAGACATGTCTTTGTCAGTTTATGTTCGACATATGAGTTTTAATGTTCCTTTGGTATCTTTCGTCTCTCTCTTTCATTTATCAAATATTAATACTTTTTATCACTCGAGAGAATGGGATTACAATCCGGTGGATGCTGCTTATACGATTTGTTTGTATAAAGCTTTATATTTCAGCAGTGAGAAGACCTGTATGCTTCATACCTTATATATGGAGGCCTTATTTGACGAAGTTTTCCACCTGTTATATGACTTTTGTCTTTGACCTCATTTGCATATGAAAGACTCATTTATTATGAGTAACAGAATCATAATATTTGGTCTATGTAATTCTTACAAGGTTACATACCCGTCAGACAGGGATCACCTGACCTTGATCTCATTTATATGGATCACCGATATAGGTTAAAGTTACGTGATGAGGTCTCAGAAACTATAAGCAGTATGTCAACTTTATTCGTTGTATGGTATGATTTTAAGGTGTACATATGTCAGACTTGGATGTTTTTTCTTACATTGACCTCATGTTTAAGGTTTGTTGGTCGTTGTTAAGTTTTTATGGTGTGGGTCTTCTTCACAGATACCATAAGCAATAGGTTGATTATATATTGGGTGTATAAATTGAAATACATGTTTGTTTGGTAGTTTCATCTAGCCTTGACCTCATTTTCATGGTGAATTGATCAATGTTAAGTTTTTTTTATCGTCTGTTTGTGAGATACTATGAACAATAATTTGACTATTTTAGGTGTATGGAATAATTGTAAGGTGTACATCTCCGTCTGGCTGGTATCATCTGACCTTGACATCACTTGCATGTTTCTCTGGTAAATGTTAAGTTTTCGCAGTTAGGTGCTTATATGAATTCTTCATGCAAAAGATCAACTATATTTGTTGTATGGAATTATTGTAAATTTTACAGATCTATTCGGCAGGGTTCATATGACCTTGGCCATATTTTCATGGTTCATTTGTCAAATGTTTAGTTTTCCTGGCTAGTTCTATTGCTATAAGCAATATGTTAACTAATAATGTTGTATGGAATTATTGTAGGGTGAACATGTTGGTCTGGCAAAGATTGAATAACTGTGTTGTAATTGCAATTTTTATGACTAAAAAAAAAGTTATTATTGTAATGGTAACAATGGAAAAGTGATTTTCTGTCAAGTAAAGTAAAGTAAAGTAATCTTTATTTAAAGTCGGATTTCATATATACATAATAAACAAGGAACATGAGCTCTTAAGAGCTCTTTAACCGACTGATATTAATAAACAAAACATACATGTAATAACATCAGATTCATATACAACACAAACATACAGACAGCACATACATGTAGTAATCATGTTAATACATAGATAGCACATGCAAAATAAAAGCTAAGCAAGATATATATTAAAACAAATGTCAAATATCAACACATAGTAACACACAATATGTGTATCCAAGTAGCACATGCAAAATTAAACACTATAAAACACAAGCAAAAGACTGCAAGCAGCTACATCACAGGTAATGCATAAGCAAAGCAAATAAATAATAAATAAAAATAACTGCAAAAAATAAAAACATAAAAACAAACAGCAGGCTTCAAGGTCAAGTCATGTGGCAGCAAGGAGTTACATTAACCTATATTTTACATGTGAAATAAACCCTGTATGTTCACCTGCCTGACCTAAGACAATAATATTTTTTGACGAGACAATAATATTTTTTGACGAGACGTTATCAACCGGATTGCGTCAAAATATCTTGAACGAGTAGAAAAGATATGGTTCCATGAATTTTCAACCATAATCATTTAAAAGTCAATGTAATGAAAATAATAATTAAGTTTTTAGAGTGACAAAGCACTGATAACTCACGAAAAAACCCACATAACATTGTTTTAATTAAGTTTTTAAATGTCCTGTTCTTCCGAATTTGAAGTTTTAGATTTGAATTAATCTAAAGAATTAAAGTATTCTTTCGTCTAAACTATATTGAGTATAAATAAGAAAACATAGAAAAAGGACCAATTGCTCACACAAACTTTTTGTTTTCACAACTTTGTCATTTTCATATTTCTGCACGTGAAAATCAAAACAATGAACAACACTACACACACATATATAAATCGTAAAAGTACCAAATTACAACTTTTTGGTTTGAACCGATTAAAGATACAAATACAGTCGAACCTCGTTATGTCGAAGTCGAAGGCACCGGACAAAAGTATTCGACTTATCCGAGGTTCGACTTATCCGAGGTCGAGTTTGTCGTCATAAATTTTAAATGCACGAAAATACGGTATGAGATTTGTGTAAACTAGATATTTTGAACAGTGTGCCTTTTCTACGATATGACACTTTATGATTGTATATTCAAACTCCATATTTTTTGGTCCCTCGTGATAATCAAACAACAAGTACAGATATAAAATATTCACAAATAAAATCAATACACAAACACAAATATTTACAAAGGTCAGTCACTATAAAATATGAAGTCACTCGCGGAACGAAACAAATTCTGAAAATCTTTATAGAGGATCGTCTGCTTTGCATTCAATGATTTCAAAATTATAATATTTTAACTGTTACACAAACAAGTACGTTTACACAGCTTTAATCTCTTTTTGAAATTATTAGGCAACGTAAGAAATACATCCGATTTGAATTTTTATCATTTAGTCTGAATCTTTCAAATTTAGAGACATCGGGGTCAATTTACATTAATTTTACATCGACGGGACCATAAAATTTACTCAGCTTAACCGAGTATTCGAATCAACCGAGTTCGACTCATCTGAGGTAAGTATGCATTGTTTAAACGGGAATTGTACCGGGACCGAGAAATTACTTCGACTCATCCGTTTTTTCGACACAACAGAGTTCGACACAGTCTAAGCGTACACGCTACCACCATGATAAGGACGAAAAAAAAAAAAAAAAAAAAAAACCGAAAAAATATGAGGTCATGCGAGTGATTTTTTGTTTCCCATTTTTTAAATAACATCATGTGGCAAAAAAAAAAATGGATTAAGCAGCAATCTAATGAAAACATGAACTCAAGAAATCTAGAGGGCAACATTTAGTCTGAAAAAATGGACAGGGGAAAGCACGATTTTGCATGACAGTTTTCCATCAAAGGACAAAATATATCATATGTAGTAACTCATACAAGCCCCTGGTATGGCAAAATGTAAATCAACTCATAAAGGGAAAACCAACAGCCGGATTTATACTACAATAATGAACGATAAACAAATATCGGAAATAGAAACCAACGACAATTGGACAATTACCACGGGGTCTCTTCCTATATAACGATATAAAAAGACGTGCCGCTGGTATTGGTCACTTTTCGGAATGTTAAATGTATCAATGGGGTGCAATTTCACGGAGGTAATATATCAATGGGTAGACATTTATATATCAATGGGTTATTCATGTTCATCTCCTGTTAAGATGTCTGTAAAAATTGTGTTATCTCTTTATCTCATAACATGAATCATAGATCGCATGTGGCTAACATTTCATTGAAATAAGATATCATGATAGCTCGGAAATATGTATATTTTTATTTGTATAGGAATCTGATGTTCAGTTGTTGTCCTTTGTTGATGTGGTTCATAAGTATTTCTCGTTTCTCGTTTTTTATATAGATAAGACCGTTGGTTTTCCCGTTTGAATGGTTTTACACTAGTAACTTTGGGGCCCTTTATAGCTTGCTGTTCGGTGTGAGCCAAGACTCCGTGTTGAAGACCGTACTTTGACCTTTAATGGTTTACTTTTATAAATTTTGACTTGGATGGAGAGTTGTCTCATTGGCACTCATACCACATCTTCCTATATCTAATAAATGGCTTATGATTTTCTTATGAAACCTTTATACCCAAATTTGTAAGTTGAGACACTTCATAACTTTGAAGCCTTTGTAACTGTGACATCCCTGATCCTGATCACTATCATCGTGGATGGACGATACAGAACGATTTGCAGAGATTGTATTACAATACAATTTAATTGTGTTTACAACTAAGAATATAAAAAAGGTATGAAACAACTTCAATGTAAGTAAGAGATACAATTTCCTTGATATGTTTAACCTGTGACAAGCTATTTTATCAATTCAAAATTTTACTATCACTGTCCATCATTTGTTCTGCAGACTGACATGATGTTTTATGCACACATTCATTTTTACTCTGACGTAAAAGATTCATTATTGTGACGCCTATATCAGACAAACTCCAAACAGGTGCATAGTATTTCTAAAACTGTATAAGACCTTGTACAGTTTAAAAATCAATATAACATAAAGTTCACGCACAACTGATTACACTTTGTCATTAAATTAAAATGTTTTTCCTACTTTGGTGCAACTGATGACTTTCTTATCAGAACTTCTTTTTTTAAGTTTTGACGTCTTTCTATTCCAACATAATGAGAGGAGAATAACAGAAAATTATTGACAAGTACTGGAATCAGTAGAGCAAGAAGACATACCCCAGTAACTGCACATGCTGATGCAATCAGCCTTCCTTGGACAGTTTTCGGGTAGATGTCTCCATAACCAACAGTCGTAAGAGTGACAATAGCCCACCAAGCTGCGTCAGGGATATGCGCAAATGCGGAATCTTGCGAGAAGTAGGCGAGAGACGAGAACAACAAAATAGCTGTACACAAACTTAAGAGCATAACTAGTAGATCTCCCACACTAGCACGTAACGTGTACACCAATATTCGGAATCCGTTGGTGTGCCTAACCAGTCGGAATAATCGAAAGATTCTAAATATCTGAAGTGAATACACAATATCGTGACCAGAATCCTTATATTCTTCTTTGGGATTCACTTGATTCATAATGAGCGACATATACATTACAACCAGGGCTAAAACATCTATCAGGTTTAAAAATGTAATAAATTCTCTCCACGGCAAAGGGAAAACTATAAACTTGCAGATAAGTTCAATCGTAAAGTACGCCAATGTTATCATTTTGAGATACCAAAGCGCATCGATTTCAACGTAAACATTGCTTGGCAGTAATATGTTTGTGTCGTAAAATGTTTCATTAAACCAGTAATCATCGAACAGTTCCGCCTCTTCTGATGTGAAGTAATCAAACCATTCACCTTTTGTTAATTTTCTTCTAAATGACGGATGAGTACTGCTGACCAGTAGAAACAAAGACAGCAGGACAATTGCATTGCTGGTGTATAAATATACCTAAAAGTAAAAAATAAAAACAAAAAACTTGGTTATCATACACAACTCTCTCTTTTTTTTTTTTTTTTAACAGTTGGGACTTTTGGAATTAAATTAATTTAAACTTACCAATGTTCATAGTAGACCAACCTTACTGATACATGATTCACATGAATAACACCGATTTTGAAATTGGATATTTCATAAATAAGATGAAGTATTTTAGCTTCCATAAACTAAACAAGTTTGATCTACAGGGAATACATAGTGTGAAGTAGGAAGGCATTTCCTCAATTGAAGATTTAAGTCCAACAACTCCAATAAGTTAGTGCGTTCAAAACAGCATAACTGATAACCAAATAAAGATCATGGCAAACATCCAATGAATATAGACTCATGGATAGATGTAAACTACCATTTAAAAAGTCTGTCTAATATTAAAGAAAACGACATAAATCCCTTTTGTTAATGATTTATTCAATGAATCAGTTATTTCCATTAATGACAAATAGGATATCTTTAGAGCAAGTCCCATAACATCAAACAAAAGCAGCCAGTGTTGTCTAATTTTTTTTTAAACTCGGCTCCGCTCTTTTCGTTTTACTTTCGTCTTTTACAGCAGTCTATTATAATTATACATTTGTTTTATAATGAATGGTAGCTTGGAAACCATAAACACAATAAAAGTAGACATACTTCTTCTACTCAAATTAAGAACTCGAAATGATAAAAACCACATGGTGTTCATAACATCCATTTCCAGACTAAACGTGACTGGGTATTTATTCCTCCCAAGCTTAGCAAAAAAAAAAACCCGTCTTTCATACAGTCGGACAGAAGAAGTCTTAAAATATTTCAAAGCTCTAACATCCTATTAGAGAGTAAGCTAACAGGAGGATGCACAACTACACTTTATTCATCGATATGCCTCAGCACAAGGATGACCGGGTTTAAAGATATGGAAACTTTCGATTTTCTTCAGGCCGGCAGTTAAACCTGGATGAAATTATGTTTGGTTGTGAAGGATGTATAGGACGCATCCACGTCTATTTATAATGGGGGGATATGACGTCTTGTGTAGACAAAGTGAACAACGATTTCTGTACTTTGAGAACCCTTGCAACAACTCATCGAGGGTTTGTACGCTAAATTTCTCTTCCTTTCAATATATCCTCATATTCCGGTGGTATTTCAAATTTCAATGCCGTCATTAGATCGATCATTTTGTTCAGAATCTACATATTGTATTTATTGTTTACCTGTACTTGTCATGCATTCAATATTTGCCACTGAACGTCAATCAAACAACAATGAATCAATCGACATTCCTGAATAGATCACTTGATCGTTATTAGGAAATCGATTTGCCATCTTCACAATTACCGAAGATTCAAATAAGGAACTTTAAATAGAGTAAGAATTGTATTAAGGTGAATATTTTCAACAACAGCAATTCTCATGAAAAATTAAGTCTAAAAGTAAAAATCAAATTTTTATCGGTTGATATTTTCTTTTCTTTAATATGACTGTCATCGGGACGAATAAATTCGAAGCAAAGTCGTGTCATAAAGTGAGCCTAAACTCAAAGCCTTCAATAGGAAAGAATTCAACGCTCTTTTCTCGTTTCATAAGCTTTTTTAAGGGTCTAGTTGGGGCTTGTTGCAAGGCAAACATGTTTTTCCTCCCCAATTTATCCTCGTTTTCTAATTGTCGTCAACAATCTTACATTCTTCCTGGTGTCTCACTTTCTAGAACCTACTTATTGAAATGAACGTTGTTATTCTAGTCCCTAATTTGCATAAAGTTTTTCCATAGGAAGTGAAGCAAACTATAATTAAAAACCAATTGTTCAGAGAACAATTGAAGGTCTTTCCACCCATGAAGATCTATATTGATAGCTTATTGTACGCTGATTCCAAAAATATATGGTTTCTATACATTTTTTTAAAATACGGGAGATGATTTGTCACTTCCGGTTTGAAAAATGTTACTTCCGGTATAATTTGAATGTTTACTTGACACTGATTCCGAAAATATATGGTTCTTTATACTTTTATATTAAATATGTATAAAAAATAACTACTTCCGGTTTACGCAAGGCCACTTCCGGTTGGATTTTTGAATGTCAAATGGCTTGCAACCTAATGCAAAAAGTACCATGGCTTTATCATGTATACATATGAGGTAAAAGCAAAGGTCCAAATCTAGAACGTCTAATTTACCTATGACCTTGAGATCAATTTCAAGGTCATTAACCAAGGACCTCAAATCAAAAGACCCTAGGTCTTAATTATATATGGTTAATGAGTTATATCACCATACGCGTATTTTTAAATACAAGAGGGGAGAAAACTCTTCTTTAATGTTAGCGCACCCTTTAAACCAAAATGTATGTGTTACGACATGTCGCAACTAACAATTTAGTAATACTATGTTGTCGATATCTTATTAGGTTTTTGAAAAGAAGTGAGAATAAGCCAAAATCAAAATTTAGAATATGACCTTGACCTTTGACCTTGACCTAATTTTCTTTTTTTGGACCAAGGACCTCAAATCCAAAGACCCTAGGCCAATATCACTTATGGTTTACCAGTTAGAAACGCATATCACTTATATCAAAACATAAGGGGGAATAACTCTCATATGGAGTCTCCGGATAGCTTCGGTCAAAATAAAAATCCTCATCCTGAAGATGTAACGAGCAATTTGGTAAAATAAATTTGTTGTAATCTTTTACGGTTGCAAAGAAGTAGTGGCCACAAGAAAAACAGTGTTTGGGGAGATAACTCTTACAACGTAAGGTATTTGGATACGCGGTTGTCAGTTTTAAAAGCGTATACACTATACGATATTATATTCCAAATATCTAAGCGACATCTTATGAAACAACAAAACTACGTAAGAAGAAAAATTAGGCGGAAGAAAAAAAATAATAATAATTAAAAACCAATTGTTCAGAGAACATTTGAAGGTCTTTCCTACCACAAAGATCTATTTTGATATGAAAATATTACAATTTGGTTTAAAATGTCATTTCCAGCGTCAAATGATAGCTTATTGTACGCTGATTCCGAAAATATATGGTTTCTATACATTTTTTTTTAAATAAAGGAGATAATTTGTCACTTCCGGTTTGAAAAATGTTACTTCCGGTATAATTTGAATGTTTACTTGACACTGATTCCAAAAATATATGGTTCTATATGCTTTTATATTAAATAAGTACAAAAAATAGCTACTTCCGGTTTACACAAGGTCACTTCCGGTTGGTTTTTCCAAGGTCAAATGGCTTGCAACCTAATGCAAAAAGTCCCATGGCTTTATCATGTATACATATGAGGTAAAAGCAAAGGTCAAAATCTAGAACGTCAAATTTACCTATGACCTTGAGCTCAATTTCAAGGTCATTAACTAAGGACCTCAAACCAAAAGACCCTAGGTCTTAATTATATATGGTTAATGAGCTATATCACCATACACGTATTTTTAAATACAAGAGGGGAGAAAACTCTAATTTAATGTTAGCGCACCCTTTAAACCAAAATGTATGTGTTACGACATGTCGCATCTAACAATTTAGTAATAATATGTTGTCGATATCTTATACGGTTTTTGAAAAGAAGTGAAAATAAGCTAAAATCAAAATTTCGAATATGACCTTGACCTTTGACCTTGACCAAATTTTCTTTTTTTTGGACCAGGGACCTCAAATCAAAATACCCTAGGTCTCTATCACTTATGGTTTACCAGTTAGAAATGCATATCACTTATATCAAATGCATAAGGGGAAATAACTCTCATATGGAGTCTCCGGAACGCTTCGGTGAAAACCAAACTCAACATTCTGAAGATATAGCGAGCAATTTGGTAAAATAAATTTGTAGTAATCTTTTACGGTTGCGAAGGAGTAGTGGCCACAAGAAAAACAGTGTTTGGGGAGATAACTCTTACAACATAAAGTATTCGGTTAAGCGGTTGTCAGTTTCAAAAGCGTATAAACTGTTCGATATCATATACCAAATATCTTAGCGACATCTTGTGAAACAACAATACTACGCAAGAAAAAAATTAGGCGGAAGAAAAAAAAAAATAATAATCAGAACAAAATCAATAGGTCTTTCCACGGAAAAGTGGAAAGACCTAAGATCAGAAGAAAACCAATAGGTCTTTCCACAGAAAAGTGGAAAGACCTAATTAATCAACAAGTATCATTTAATTTTTACATCAGTCTTGATCTTTCCAATCAGTTGTTTGTCATAAAGATTGATTACAAACATGTAAAACACACATAATGATTAAAGTCTCCAGATAGTTAATTAATAAAAAGTAAAATGATAAAAATACCGAACTCCAATGAAAAGTCAAAACATAAAGTCCTTTATCAAACAGCAAATTCAAAAGCTGAAACACATCAAACGAAAGAAAAACAGCTGTCATATTCCTGAATTGGCACAGGCATTTCCTTGTGTAGAAATGGTGGATTTAACATGTATTTATAGCTAGCTAAACCTCTCTTTTGTCACTTTTACATCAGACTTGATCCCTCCAAACAACTGCTTGTCAGAAAGGATAGTTACAAACATGCAAGACAGACATAATGATAACAGTCTCCAGATAGTTAATCAATAGGGTTCGTGACACGTTTAACGACCACCACATCAATAAGAATGTTCATTCATGCAATTAATTCAAGTTTAAGATTAAACTTGAATCTTTAAAAAGTCATTGACAGTCAATTATCTGCTTATAAACTAACATCAACATTTATGTAATACTATTAGTTACTGGTGCCCATGTTCTATTCTAATTAATCAATTCATGTTCACTTTGAAGATGAAATGAATCCATCTACAAGTGAATGTTTATCCTAAAACTTATAAAACTTATAACTGTCTCATTTATCGCCACTTATTTGTTTCAACTGTTACAGTAATGAATTGCATGTTATAAATTAAAAACTAGAGAAGAACACAACAAAACACTGTCTTATAAGTATAAGACATTATTATACTGGTTTAAATTTATTTTGTTCGTTCGTCCGTTCGTCAATCCTTAACACTTTCTGATGCCTTTTCTAAGCAACTACACATACTAAATGTTTTTGTTTTATTTGGTACCAAATTTTATAATTGTAAGCTATTTCGTGTGAAGCATTTTCAGAGCCGTCACTTATCAACCTCTTATTTGCTGCACATCTGTATGTTCTTCACATGAAAACATCTACAAGATATTGTCTTAGCATTTTCTCCAGCAACTGCAAATCCGAGCTTCATGCTATTTTGTTCTATGCGTCAGATTTGTAAGCTTTAGCGATTGCCACATTATTAGGTTCGTCACCTATTTAACTTTTGTTTGCCTTTATAATAAAGATAAGGACAAATTGTATGGTCGTCAATTAGACAACTATCCATTCATGAATAGTAATTGACATTCCGTATCAGCTTTGTTACTAATTAGAATATACATTTTGCATCATCTTTTGGTATTCATATATCTTAACTCGTTTTCTATGCACACGTCTGTGGTGACGTTTGGATTTCAATGAACCTAATTTATGCATACTGGTAAGTTATAAAGGAAAGGATTTCGTTTGTTAAAATTCTTTCATAGATATACAAATTTGGTTTGGAAGTGTGGCTGAAGAAAACCGTTTACAAGCGGGATAGCCCATCCTCATTGTGACGATGATGTTGTTATCCGAACCCGTAAATGTAGATGAGATCCGGGTAAACTAGTCGTTTCTTTCAGAAAACATTTCTAAAAGGTTACCAATTCAGCATTGTAATTAGATCCTTGAATATTTTTTTTATCGGTATAGATATCAATTTTATTATAAAAAATTTAAAACCAAACTAAACATTTTTGTTATACACATATATACATTCACGGTACTACAATCTGTCGATACCTATATTTTGGCATTGCACAAGGGCATGTCTTCTCTTAACTGATAATGACGTCTTTACACTAAATTTAATGGATGTTGGATGTGTACTGATCGATATTTTAGTCTTATTTTCATGATTTTTTATTAGCTGTAATTAGCATTGAACTGTTATTCAGTGGTTGTCGGTTTTTGGTCTTTATAAAATTTGTTTTTCGTTTATTGTTTAATACATAAATCAAGCCGTTATATTTCTTGTTTAAAGTGTTATACATTTATCATTTCGGGGCCTGTAAGCAAGCAACAATCAATCCATCTTTCATCACATCTTTTTGTATCCTCTATCATTTATATATGTATTTAACAAACCACTTGTGGTGTACTATTAATTGAAACAAACTTCACTAATTGACATAACATCTTTTACCTTGGCTAAAATAGAAGAAGTTGGGTATTCCATGACAGACCACACTCTCGCTTGAATAGACCTCCATCCGTGCCCTCTGGCCATCGTCTCTACTATTTCAAACATGGTATTTCTTTTACATTCCCCTTCCTCTAAAACAGACAAAACGTTTAGGGTATCAAAGTACGAAACATACTTAGTGAAGCAACACGATTCTAATGCAGTTTCTGGTAAACCCCAAAATTCAAGTTCTTCATTGAACTTCTGTGGACATATGTCTTCTGGCATATGTAATTTTCCTCCGTTAAAATAATCAAAGATGTTGTTGGTAGACGTAGTGTGTCTATTAAAACGAAAGTCCATACAGTTAGAATCATCCTTTATTGCTGTTATGATATGTTCTGCAGCATCAGAGTTAGTTTCACGAATTCTTCCTAAAAGTTGATCTGACAATTCGTGTTTTATTCCTCTATTTGAAATGCAACGCACTTTTGCCATACTTGCTACACTTTCCTATGGAACTATATCAAGCGTAATTAAAATAGATAACCATCCATCTTAAACTATTTAATTTAATCTCAACTATCATAGGTATACGTTATAATTTCACAGTTTGCTGAGTTAATTATATTACAAACTGAGATCTTCTAATTGACATAGGAAACGCTCATCAACTTCTAACATTGCAGTATTCTTAGACATCAATGTGTAAGTAATTAATTTATAACAGCTTATTAACTTCCATCTAGCTAAATAAAGATAACACAAGTATACTCTAAAGATGTAATAATGAAAATTGAACAACACGTTTGCAGTAACAATCGTCAGATTAAAAGTTTAAATAATGCATTACCTAACCTGACTTTCTGATGACTGAGGACTATTGTAATTAAATTCATTGGCATCAATAGTATTGATTCAACTAAAATATTTATGTCTATTAAGGACACTTTACAATTTTTGTTTTCATGAATATCAATATTTGATAAATTTAAATATCCTTTCAAATATCCTTAACAGAATTATGATTTTTGTTTTTAAATGGATGGACAATAAATCGCCAGTAGATAGATAGTATATGGAGATAATTGCTGTTGTGGAAATACAACAACGTACTTTGTAATCTCATATCTATAAGAACCCTATTGAATTAATTTCCTTTTTCTGTTTAAAAGTCGATAATTGGAACTGTTGTAGTCATATCGAAATGCTATAGATAAGATTGTATTTCATTTGAAAATTGAATAAATTCTATAAAGTGTAAATTATATATCTTAGTAGCACTGGATCGATACCGTTGCTGGTGGAAAGTTTATCCCTAAGAATATCTCCAACTTAATATTACTCGGAAATAACATGATATCTGTTTCTATTGTCCGTTGATAAATCAGAGAATTATCAAGAATCTTTAGCGGGTACAGAACACTTAAGGGAGTTAACTAATTTTAAAATCATTCCCGTGTGGTTTAAATTTCTTGAATATTTTTTTTATTTTTGCCAACAGGTCAAAGTTAATATTTTATCAAAATTTCTTGAACATTAAACGAACCAAATCTATTTTAGTAAAAGTGTTGGGTACCCCTTTAAGTTCAAGATTTATCAGGCAAAGTTGACATTGGGAGAATTTAGCTTTTGTTATTTTCAAAAGTCTCTTTTGTCATATTGCTACTGATTTTTTAAGTTGCCAAATCTTAATATCGAGAGTGGATAAATATTGTTTATAATTTACAGCGTAAATCGCTGAAATCTATGTCTTCGATTGTTTAATATATTGTGTCTAATGTTTGTTTAAAAGGCAAATATAATAACTTACAGTTTATTTAAAGTCGCCGTATGAACAATGAGCTCCAAAACCAGCTGACTTGATTGTAACAAAAATCTTCAGCATGTCCAATTATTTTTTAAATATTCATGAAAAAATAGTTTAAAATATAAAGAACATAGAAAATCGAATTCAGGGCTTAATAATTCGTTTTTAATCACGCCATTCGAACGATATATGTTATAGATAATGCATATTTTAAAGTATTGTTGTAGAACACACCGAGGGGTGTCAGGATTGATCAAAGAAAGACCAACCGTAGTGTTAATACTTGTAATATCAAGAATGGTTCATGTTGTATATATATTATATATAGGTCTTTTATTATATAAAATAAAGCATCCATTTCTACATTGTAAATGACTTAATAATTGCACAGCGTCCAATACAAAAATCAACTATTTGATCAGTCAATTCCAAGTTCAGTATGATTATACACGAACAGCTGTGAATGAATGTTAATCACGAATCCTGAGTTAAAGAAATCTAACATATCTGTATTAATTTTAGCACATTCTAAAGTGATTAATATTTTATTAAAATTACTAATCTTGATACATTCCTGATCAAACTTTGTGTAAACATAGCGTGACATAAATTCCACATCTTAAATCGAAGAAAGTGAATTCGCTCTTATGCGCAATTTTAATTTTAATTCTGTAGTCTAAATATTAAGGTCGAAAAATAAAAAATACAAAAACACCGGAACTACAATTTGTTTATTCTATTAAAATATATGCATACGGGTAAGTTGCGACCTTGCTACCTGAGCAACGTTTATATAACATATGTTGTATAACAAATAAGAAAATATTTCAAGTTTGTCCACATACTGATATGACCAAACATTTCTCGATTTCAATTCAGAAATAATTGTTTGTCCGAACAAATGATGGGTACAAATTGTATAATAACCATCAGATGTTTGGTAAATTAATAACAACGATATCTCCAATAAATTACTTCTCAAAATTTGAAGTAATGTATATTTCCTGAGCTTTCAATTGAACTTTGAGCGTTCTTAATGTAGGCAAATCCAGAAAAGGGCTTGAAAAGAAATTGATTGAATATCCTTTATTCTTCATGTGTGAGACCTTGGTCAATACCACTGTTTAAAGACGCCTAGTCTTGATGTTAGCAGCAGCTCTATAGTCAGTTCTTCGATATGTATACACCATTGGCTACAACTTTTGGGGTATAATCGATTATGATGAAGGTCAATCCCAAAAAGTGCTTCGGCTGTACCAACTTTCAAAAGTGAATTTAATGTTTAAACGCTGGGTTTAAACCGCTGCTAGGAGGATGCTAGTTGAAAGGTTATTATCAGCTCAGTTGTCAGTGCTTCGATACTGACAATATGTATAGCATTCCTTTTTAAATTACCGTTGATACTTTTTAAAATAATAAAGAAACTAAGGGGTTCTATTACCTCAACCAAGATGACTTTATATGGATTTGGCTTTTCTTTTAAGGTTAACGTTTCTGTTATTTCTTGTATTTTGCTACAGACATATTAATTTACATACTTCCTTGATTGTCTTTTTGAGTCCTTTTTTGCGTTCATATGGAAAAGAGAGGCGAAAGATGCCAAAGGGACCTTGAAACTCATAAGTCGAAAATAAACTGACAACACCATGGCTAAAAAAGAAAAAAAACCAACAGACAAACAATAGTACACAAAACAAACATAGAAAACTAAAGACTGAGCAACACGAACCCCACCAAAACCTGGGGGGTGATCTCAGGTGCTCCGGAAGGGTACGGAGGAACATTCAGAACAGTGCTTCGGACGCATCAAATTTATAATACATATACATTAATTTTTTGTTATCTTTGGTGTAATACCGATGTTTGTGGACTGCTAGTCCCCAAGATTATCATCAGCTTAATGGTTTTTTTTATCAAGCCATTATAAAGTAAGAAATTTTTTTTCAGATAAAGTGGACTTTATATTGATTTGGTTATTGTAAACCAACTAATTTTTGCGAGTATAAAAATGACGCGAATATAAATCGTCGCGAAAATTTAAAATTTGGATCTCTCCTTCTCTAGCTACAACAAATGAGTTTGAAAATCGCGAAATCAAATCGCCGCGTAGTGGGCTAGAACGGGCTAAACGCGAAATAAAGTATCCGCAAAAATAACTTGGTTTACAATATTATTTTATGTACTTTATACATCATATACATACTTCGCTTTTCAATGTTTTGGTTCTAACGTTCCTGATAATGGTAAATCCGTAAAAAGGCTTCAAATGTGTAGACAGATATTTGCAATCTGTATCTGTTAGTTTTGTTGTGATAAGAGTATAAATTGTGGCAAATAAAATAAAAGCTTCACAGAGAATTAAAGGAGCATTAGCTACGAAGTTAACAAAAAAACAATTTTAGACTATTTTTAGATTCAAACATTTATAATGACTGAAATGTAAAATAATATTTCGCTACTGGTAATCACCTTGGGTCGATTTTGTCAAAATATACTGAAAAAAAATCAAAGATGTCCTTTTTTGCTTTCAAGTCAAAAATTCCACTCTTTTGAAATCCGTATTAATGCAAACTTAATTTAAACCCTTATCTGGGATGGACTACACATTGGCTAGTCATGTTTAGTTATTTAAAAGAAATGAATTACAACATTATAAAGTGAAACAAGACAGCCAACGAGAAGATGCCTTTGGTATACTGATTCTGACCACAAAATATCAAATAAATGCAGGTAAAACATATTGTTTTTAAATATGACATATGAAACCAAACAGACCTAGAAAAATCGTTTTATACGTGCTTGTCTGTGTATTTATATTTATATGTATGTTTACATCATTTCATATGACCTACGAAATATCGATGGCGCCTATTCTAGAATACACACGCAACGCAATTGAATATAAATTAATCAGCTAATGCTCCTTATGAATGTTTGGTCTTCTTCAGTGCTTTTCTGCTTCGAGCTTTGTTTGGCCTTTTTTTTTTTTTTTTATTCGAGCGTAACTGATGAGTCTTGTGTGGACGAGGCGCGCGTCTGGAGTACGGAAAATTTTAATCCTGGTATCTATGATGAGTTTATTGAATAGAACACTTGTATGCAAAACATTCTTAATGTAGTTTATTAAAACAAAAAGAAGTTCAGCATAAATACAATTTACAATTTACAAAATTGTACTGAGACGGTGATTAAATTGTTGTTTATTGAAAAACAAATTGAAACATGACTTACGATTGGCTCAATTGTCCAACACTTTCATCAACTTTATATTTATAAAATGCCGAAGTAAAGCATTGGAAATGCAACACACATTGATTTTACGAAATTTCCGACATTAGCCTAAAATGGAAGGCACACATCATAATTTTTTTAATTTAGGTATGAAAGGTTCGGAAGTTTGTTCATTACTTGTCTTGTAGCATATCGAATAAGCATACCGTATTATACGTGTTTAAAAAACGGAATTAATAGATGGGAATCGGAGGAGGTAGGAGGGGGGATGTGGAGAGAAACCCTTCATCTCGTCTTCGTTTAAAGTATCTCTCATGTATATTGAAAGTTTTATCGAGGCACTATATGCTTATTATTTTAGATATGAATTTTGGAACAATCAATTTAATACATTTTGATGGACATTGAAAATTCTGAAAACAAGTTTTTCGTCGTTTTCGCTCGAACTCGCGATAAGAGATTTATAGAATCACGGTAAATATAGTATAATGTGGTTATACCAGGTTTATGTAATCTGTTTTGATGTTACATTTGCGATTTAAACATACCCGAATGGCGAATATATATTTCTTAATAGTATAACTTAGAAGACTTATCCGTACAGTAACTCTATTGTAATTATTTAATGAAATACATTTAGAAGTACACAGAGAAAGTAAAAAAACAAATACACTTTTGCAAACTTGTAACAACAATAAGAAATGATATTAGTTTTTAGACTACAATAATTTGAAAAAATGAACACAATGTTTAAATGCATTGATCCGAAGATATCGATGAAATCATGCCTATTATATTGAGTTGATTTTTAAACCACAATAATATTGCAATTCGTATACAAATACTTTTAAAGATTTATTATAGACTGTAGATTGGTATTGACCAAATGTAAACAATAAACAGTCAATAATTATATCTAAAAAGATAGGACTAGTGTATGTTATGTAAATGGAGGACAACGAGCCTGAGGTATAGTAAATATTCTGTAGAAACATTAAGTGTTTAATGGTTAACATTTCGTGGTTTTATCTCTTAATTTGATGTCATGTGATTTAATTTTAGTAGTTCCAAGTATGCAAAATTAATATTCTTTGAAGATTAGATTTCGTCGGTTTTTTTTTGTGATAATATCTGTCCACGATTTACTGTCGGCTGAAAAAAGTTTTGTTTGTTCTTGACTCGCGACGATTTAGAGTTGGACATTAGATATGGAATGATGTTTATTGCTGATGACCATACGTTGACGTCTGACCTTTTTGGTTTTCTTTGTGTGTTTTTGTTGTTACGCACGTAGCGTTTAATTTATATATTTATATTTATTTTAAATGTCAATAAGACCAGATTTATTAAACTGTGTTATTACTTCCGTGTCATTTGTTTATATCTCATGGTTTTTAGTTCTAGGGATATTAAATCAATCACCGGCTTGTCAGCGGGAAAAAAATGTTCAGGCCAGCGAGTCGCCAGCGGAAAAAAGGCAAGCCGGAGCGGCCGTCCAGGTCACCAAGAGGTGCAAATATCAAGGATCCAATGTTGGGACTTTAGCTGCGCATCTTTTAAAGTTGGTGCGTCTGAAGCGTTTTCTGAATTTATCTTATTCAGGAATCCTCCACCCCCCCCCCCCCCCCCCTTTCCCCAAAGAAAATAAACTGGGAACGAATTAGCTTATGAATATGCGTGGAGCAACAAAACCAAACGGAACCCAGGAAAGAATAGCCAAATCCATCTACTGTCAACTATAGCTGAGGGAGTATGTACCTTTGTTTCTTAATAATTTCTAAATTCACCATCCGAGAATTTAAGAAACGAATGATAGAAATCACATCAGTACACGGGTTCTAACTACTGAGCTGATGATACATACGGGTACTACCAGTTTATCACCAATAAGTGAAATAAGGAAAACGCCAATATTTTGAAGATATCAATTACTCATGGTTAAAGGCGGGTAGTGCAGCATATACATGAAATGTTCAAAGAGGTAATAACTGACTGAAACATGACACATGCGTTGACTTGTTAATCGAATTAATAATGCTATGTCTATCTTTAGTATAAAAGTGTATTACTTTTGTTTTTCCTCCAGGGAATGGTGATGTTGACGATACATCTGTGACAGTCTTTTAAATAATCCCTTTCTAGACTCGATTGACATATTGTAATTTAGTTAAGACCTTTTGTTGACTTCTTCAGTCTTTTAGTTCCTTTCTCATTGATGTATTCCAAACAACTCGTTTCATTCCAATTTTCATTCTAATGTATTGACCCAAAGCAAAATCTTCAAATGGTTGAAACAGAATGTTTCAATTTGTTTTCTTTTGTAAGGATGTTCGCTACTCATGTTTTTCCACATTTTGTCAGATATTCGGAATCCTCTAGTTTTATCCATGTAGTACCAATAAAAATTTTGCCCGCTAACCCCTACTTTTCTTTTCATAATTTTATTGCATATAATTTAAAAAGCAATATTTTAAAATCTTATAAAATCCTTGTTTTTTTTTCATAGTTTTTGAATGAAAAACGATGCTAATGTTAAATGTATGAAGAGTCTAGAGAGAATCATTTCCCGCCAAATTTTCAATTGATTATATCTCAAAAACAAGGACACGGATCTGTCATTTTTATCTACTTTTTAAGTTTTATTATTTATAAACTATCAATTAATAACAATCTTTTAAAAAGCTTGTTATTTGGAAAAACAGTAGCGAACATCCCTAAAACAAGTTTGCATCATTACCACTATAAGATTTAATTTTTTAGTTGTTCATTCTGTGACAAATAAACAATTCATTTTCTACATTGAATAGATAAAAAGACTGCAAGAGCTGTTCAAAGGACGATTTACGTTTGAGGAAGCACAGTCACTTATCAGCCATCACCATGGAGATTGCCTGGCAGCTGCTAATTTTGTCATCGATGGTAAATAACTTTTTTTAATGAGAACAAAATCTAAAGCATGTATTATAGAAACCATGACTAGGGTGGTACAGAAATAAAGTCAGAGGTACATGGATTTTGAAAATATTCCTGTTTTAATATTTCAGAAAATATAAGAGATAAAGTTTTATTCTACCTTAAGAAATATATTAATTTCATCATTTAACACATATATCCAAGCATTCATAAGGCAATTGTTCCCCATTATAATATTCATCGCCTTGCTCAATGTATGTACGTAAATTGTATGCCCAACAATAGCACACATGACGTAAAATATCGTCGCCTAAACCAAACTATTGGACGAAATCAAACGTATTGATTGGCGATTGGAAGATTATTGATTATTTTATGTCGAGTGGCAAATAGTTCATCATATTTTAGATAAATTACAGTGTTGTAATAAACCGTTTGGTAAGGCTAATACAGTTGTTGATACTGGGGGATAGTTGGCAAAGTTAAACTGTGATTTGATAATGAAATGTTATTTTCTCTCTGTATTGTGTTGTTGCAGTAAAAGTTGATAAATGTGCATTATATTATATCATGCTCTTTGATAATGAAATTAATATAAAGATTTGCTTTGCAGAAGAACCTCAAAGAGTCAGAGATGTTATTGGCACCGAAAATGAATCGGTAAAATTAACTAATTATATGTTGGCAATCTTATGAAGTATATATAAGTTCGTGTCTGTTTTCAATTTGTCCATCGACTCAACAAATTTTCATAAAAAAATCTACCTTCCAGTAAAGTAGAAAATTATAGCAACACAATACAAAAATCAACTAACCTTCATACACTTTGACGCAAATTTTGAACACAACAATTACTTTTATTCAACCTTTTTATTAAGTAGACTTCGAATCAATATTTTCTGTTTTTAATTTCACCTGAATAATATTATATATGCCTACCCTTATTTTCCTCACAAATTATAAGTTAAATAAAGTTAGCAACGGATGTTTAAAACCACACAATTAGACTATATGTTAAGTAAGGCGAAAAGTGCTTTATTATTATAATACGACATGTTAACATTAACTTATGTATCAGTAAACAACCTCTATGACAAAACAGTCAAACACAGAAATCCAAAACATGGTCATTCAAACAAACCGAGATCTATTAGGACTGGACTATTAAATAAAAAACTTGAAAATAATCTAAAGTTGGTTATATAACTTATAAACTGGAATTCTCTCCCCTATTTATATGTGTTTTTTTCTGTTGGTATTATACCATTTTCTATTAACAATAAAGCTACGTGTTATAAATTGTTAACTTATTCTAGAGGTACAATTGTAGTTCATGGTGTATTGAAAGTGTGTCTGTACAAACTAATCACATGGAACAACCGGATGTCCGATTCTAAATGAATCTTAAGGAAACAACTTCGTGGTGCTCAATATAACACATTTTTTTTTATATTGCGAGTAGACGTTTCCTATCATGTATTCGTTCGTAGAGGGCGGCTGCTTACAAAGAATTAAAGTTGAAGTCATCCGATCGAAAGTTTTACGGACGTCATCATCATTTGGTTGACGGGTTGACGTAATGAAATGTCAGTGATGTAATTTTTCATTTATATGTTCCACTTATTTTAGCCACTATCCTGTCCTTTTTTCCTTGATTGTGAAATTACCGAATGCAAATTATCATCGGAATTTCACTTTGAATTAGTATCACAATGCGTGTATAGATTGGCAGGGCCTGCATAACCTTCCTGAATAACTTATTTCATTCTCAGAATTTGAATAGGTTCCAAATGCTCATTTTTTTTTGAGTTTTCTGTGTTGACTTTTACTTGTCGTTTCGTCATTGTTTTTTGTTCGCCATGATTTTCAGTGATTTGATAGAAAATTTGGTTTAACGTAGCGTCCTTGTTGTTTTATTCCACTTTATGCAAACATAATTGCATCTTTGTCAATGTTTTAAAACATAACTTTCTCCTAGAGTTATTTACGCTGTTTTTCTACAGAAATAAGAATGCTTTTCTTAAAAAATCTTTTTTTTAGTGGCAAGTTATTGCAAATAATCACAATTGGAACGATCTAGTGCGACAAGGAATTATCGAAAAACAGGAGAGACTGTTTGCATGCGGTCCGTGTGATAATGTTTGGTGGAGGAAAGTTCCAAGTCGGAAGCTGGTAAGTTTCTATTTGATTCAAATGACTTGCTTTAAGCAAGGGTTTATTTATTCAAAGCTCGGTGTATAATCATATTTACAAAGGAATTATCAAACTGTCGTATTATGTGTGCATTTATGCAGTGAATATAACTATTTCGTTAATCTCGTGCTCCTCCTGAGTGCAGGAGGAGGTATCTGACCGGATTTAGCCAAAAACTATAGAAATAGTAAATGCTGAATTAATACGGTAATCATCATACATTAACTGTCTACAAAAAAATTGGAATATTTCGAACTACTAAGGATGTTTTTTTACTCCAGGCATAGATTGCATTTGCTGCAAATGTCAACCCGTTTCGGAATTTCGGGTCCTTAATGCTTCTTAAATTCGTACTTTATTTGGCTTTTTTTTAACATTGTTTTATTACAGAGTTAACGATGAGTCTTCTGTAGACGAAACGTGCGTCTTGTGTACAACATGTTGATTCTGGTATCTGCGATGAGTTTACATGTATCTCCATAAACCAGGACATTTAGCAGTACTATTTGACTCGGATTAATAATAATCTGTCCGATCTGGGCGATATGTTATCTTTGAGACTGTCCGATTTGAGCGATTTATTTTTTCTCAGACTGTCCGATTTGGGCAATATGTTATCTCTCAGATTGTTGCCTAGTAATATTTAATATTGAAAAGCCAGTTCATGATTAATTACTGTTTGCTGAACTTCACTATTTGTCTAATGGCAAAAGGTTAAAAAATATCCAGGACGAGAACAAAGGCTTCTAAACGAATTTTGGTCTGAAACGGTCATTTTGATCTTGACATCATCTGAATAATTAATTATTTAGTCTTGTTCAATTTTTCAGTCAATTTTCAGATTAATTGACCGAGGTGGTAAATTCAGTACTGTTCAGATGATTTGCATTCAGTCAATTCACAACTGTTCAGAAGCGTTTTGGAAAATTCAGTATATTGGTGATCTGTACAGGTAAATAACAACTACTGGTCAGTCTGAAGTGATCTATACTGATTGCAAGCGATTCGTCAAATCAGTAGTGGAGAAGTCTGAAAAGTTACTGAAAAACTAAAAATGACGTAATCATTTTAATCTATTGTTCGGTGCTTTAAGAGCTATTCAGATCAAAATGACCGTTTCAGACTAAAATTTGTTTACTGAACCAACAATAAATTGATAGGTGAGTCCTGCAAAACTGACTGACCCGGTTTAATAGCTGGAATTTCGTCGTTCTCTGGAAAATAAAAGTATTATGATTAGGGTAAGAAATATTGCTAACAACTGGCTATCACTGAACTCAAAAAAGAGTGATTGCATGAGTGTTAGTTTTTTATTGAAATATTGATGACAGGACATAGCTAATTCAGTGCGAAGTTTGATCATATTTCCTTAGTTATATAAATATACATGACAGAAAAGATATGTTGTAATATATCATTTAACCAGATGTTCTTTCCTCACAGGAGTGATAAAAACCGAATCCTTTTATATCATTTCTTTCAAGACCACTTTTTGACAGATACATGATTCTTGTAGTTGTGTAAGGAATAGTTACAACTCGAGTTTGTGTTTCAGTTCCGTTGGTTTATTTTACGGAGTTATCAATACATATCTCTTTTTAAAAAAATACATTTTGTATATCGCTTTTAAGAAAAGATACATTTTGCATTTCGTTAGTAACAATATTTATCCATTTTGAATAGGTAAATTTGAAACATCAACATGCTTCTTTGCATGTTAAAACTCTAATTAATTTAGCTATTTAGAATCGGAAAATATATTGAACCTACTCGCAACACAGAGAATATCTATATGTATTTAATATTCAAAGATTATCCAAAAGAACAAAAATAAACATGACTCCAACTATTTAGTATTTCTGACCTGCCGAGGCTCAGTAATGGCCAAAGTAATTTTTTCTGATAAATCGTCATGTCTACGTATAGCCATGTAACGCGCAGTCAATACACATTTTCCAACTCTAAGAACACAGCAAAATCAGAATAACATTATTGATTTATATCGTTTTTTTGCACAACTTTTGAAACGACTTTAATTTTTCGACATTTCTTTGTCATTCTAAAACGGTTTGGATATGTTTCAGGTTTCAAGATGTGTGCTGTGTCGTATACGATATGAAGCTGTACCGAGACAACATGAATGGGGAAGAGCCAAATATCAATGCCAATTTTGTGGAAATATCTTCATGTATGTATAATATTCAGCAAAACGAATAGTAATTTCCAATTAAACTTAACAGATTTTTAAAATGTATTGAATATTTACTAGCAAAACACCAAAGTAAAAATTGTCGATTTCTTAACATTGTTAGATTTAATTCATTTACCTCTGGTACAGTTGCTTATCTTAATAAAATAATTCATAATTAGTCATGATGCTCATATACTGGTTGATTTAAAACATAGTGTGGGGTAAGTTTCCATAATCAAGTTTAATGCTGATATATTTTTTTAATATGTTTGTGTTATTGTGAAATGTAAATTTCTGAGATTAAAGAAATTTAAAGGAAGAAACTCAATAAAAGTTCACAATGTATAATGGACAAGGGCATACAGAAGCTGAACATACAAAGTTTCATTCATTATTTCAGAGGATTCGGACAAATGGGAGTCGCTTCAAATTTGTGTTACAGATGCGAAACTGCTTGTTCACCAATTGCTATCCTGCCAGGACGGAGAATTGAAGGGAGAAGATCAAGAAATGTCCATTCATGTCTCTGCCATAATTGTTTTAATCGTGCAGGTTTGTTTAATACATGTAACACCAATATCATATTGGTATCTCTCTAGAACAAAACTTTACCAAACATTATTAGTTACATAGTGTGCTAGTGACCTAATACGGTATATATGGGGTCAGTAAATTCTATATGGAATTTACTGACCCCATATATACCGTATTACGTCACTAGCACACTATGTAACGAATGTATCTTACCGACTATCTTAACGTGTGAAATTTAAACAAGTGACCTATCAAAATGAGCAAGTCTTCAATACCGTTAGCATTAAGAAGCTACTTCCATTGATCCTACAAAAACAGATGCCAACAATAACAACTTGTTAAGTTTAAAAGTGTTTTATAAATTTATTTCAATCTTCATCATCAATTTCTTCGTCTGTTGAAACCTTTAAGATTTTTTCTCAGTACCGTTTTGTTTTTATAAAGGGATGTAACACTACTACTAACCGTGTATGAAATAAGCCCAGCCTCCCTACTGACCTAATATGGAATATACACTGTCTCCACGCGGACGCTTTTAACCAATCATATTCCTAGAAATGTAAAGGAGGTAAGATAAAATTATATCCATTCCCGCAAAAAAGGAGTAGCTACTAGAAATGACACGTAGGGTATGAGTTCAACCGTGACTACCACGAATATGCAAACAACTAAACATTCTGCAACTAAAAATACACTTCAGACATGCATACAATGAAAATAAGAAAATATGGAATGATTGCCGATGAGGCAATTATCCATAAAAACCAGAAGACAGAACAAATTCTGAATAATTACAGGTCACTTCACATCCTTCAACAATGATGAAAACCTTCTCGTATAACAAGCTTCGGAAATCCCGGTATGACAAAACGTGAAACAATATGAAATAAACCAAACCAACAGCTATATAACATAAACAAACAAAAATCAAATATGTAAGACAGCAACTGGATTTTAAGGTCTGGGCTTACGACAGACACTAGTAGAATTTGTATCATGATCGTGAATGCTTAATCATCTTGTAGCCAAGAACAGTTGTGTAACAGTATTCTTGCACAGCATGTACAGGTCTTGTACGTATTGGCTACCTAAATTTCAGGTCTTCCTGTGATTTGTACTGAACGCCTTACTTGCTTTAATCTTGACTAATTGAGGGCATGCAGAGAATATGAGATCACCCCGGGGTTTTGGTGGGGTTCGTGTTGCTGAGTCCTTAGTGAACTGTAGTTTTTCTTGTCTTTTAATGTCTGTTTCGGATCTTCTGCATGTTTTTTGAAATGACGAAGCAAAGGCAAAATTGCAACGTTTTACACACAATTTATTGTTGACAAAGACTTTTTTCATAACACTCGAAAAAACCAGAAGGATTGTTTTTTCCCATTATCATCGTTCATCTACTAAGACATATTTCATGCCATCTCTTTGAACCAAAGCACAGCTTGTCATCCAATGATCAGTGCTTATTTCAGTGTAACAGATTCGCATTTCGATAATTATTTTCACTTTAGTTATGATTGAGGCCAACATATATGAAAGTCTCAAATCTAATACATGGGATGAAAAGCTGATTAAACCAAAAATGACCTTAAAATTAAGCCAAACCAAGGAATCGGAGCTATGCATGAGGTAGATGCATTCCTTAATTAAACATGATTTTTAAAATTTTATGAGTGCAAAATTCAATAGACAATATTCGCAGCGAAGTACTGACTTCATATACTGGGATGTTGATAAGCGTGTTGACTAAAACTCCACCAGCAGACTTAGCTCCTACACTTTGTTCGTTCTTACATTAACACATACATAATAAAACAAATATATGCATACGCTAAGCAAACATAAATAAACAGTGTCAAAATATAAAATCCGTATGAAATTAACACTTTATAAGTGTCATGCGTTCGAAGCGCTTTTCGTAGATCACTGTCATCCAGAACGCTCAAACCTCAACAATTAAAATCTTGGGATGCGTAAATACAATAAAATGTTTTGATCTAAGGCTTTTATATATGACAACCCATTTAACTCGTAAACTCTCAAAATTGTAGCATTTGTGTGATTTGTGTGATTTGTCCATTTAAAATGTTCAATACAAATGTAATTTTATTTTAATAAATTTTCAGTCCAACATGCAGGATTGCCAACTCGTTATCGACCTTTTTTTCTTTTTGTGAGTATATTTTTAAAATATACTTTTCAGATGGACCTTTTGTTGAAGCAACCTGTGTCCATCCACGATCATTGGACAGGCGGGTAGTTTATGCTAGCCAACAACACATTAGCACCGGATCAACAGTTGATACTTTCTTAACCCAAGATGACTTGGCTTCCCAGGCTTCTGATTTCGAACCAACGTTATCAGATATTGATGAATAATCGAGCAGCAGTTTACAAATAGAAAATAAATGTTCAAAGCAGCTTTTTTATGTATTCTTGTGACTCTAAAATCTCACAAAATATAATTATTTAAACACCAGGTGAATATTATATCATTTGACGATATGACGCGAATAGACGGCTTCATGACCATTAAATACATTACGTCAGGGCATTTTATCCAAACCTTCTACCAAAATTAATTAAAACATCGCAGCTTTTTGTTTATTCTTGTGACTCTAAAATCAAACAAAAATAATGTCTCATACATCAGGTGAATATTATATCATTCGACGCGAATAGAACGTGTCATGACCACGAAATACATTACACCAGGACGTCTTACCCGAACACTCCCCAAACAGAAATAAACAGCTTTTTGATTATTCTTGTAATCAATGTTGTTATTTGAAAACGAACAATGATAATACTTTTTAAAACAGCAGGTGCATATAATATCTCTTGAAGAACAAAGAGATGCTGTCTTGGCCATTAGACACTTCGGTAAAAGTCCTACCCCAACAAAATCAAACAAACAAACAAACAAATAAACAGACAATACCTTAGGATCAACAAAAGACAAAAACAACAACAATAACACCAAAGGTCACAATACTTAAACATAACGCATAAAAAAACCCAAAAAACTTTAACAGAACAAAAATTAAACCAACAAAAATGTGCGCCGTGCTGTATAAACGAGGTATTAAATTGTGTGTCACAATATGTCATTTTGGTACGATAGTCAAAATATGTATAAAAACCGACAATTCACATAAAAAGGGAAAATCAAAATGACCGTATGGTATAATATGGTCAACTACAAATTATGGCAAACAATTCTACCAAGTGTATGAACTTTCTGTCAAATGGTCTTAGAGGATTTGCGTTCAAAATATGTTGTTGTTACACTCATTATATACCATAAAACCTTTAGTTGTATTTCACCAGATGTTTGCAATTCTATTATTATGAATTATAATCGTGCAAAGAATGGTGTCTTCACGTTCTCTAGTTCGCCGATAGATTTTCCGTATACAGTGACCATCATTACGAGACCTCTCTCTAGTACTTTGGAAAGCGCACAGCGCAAGTGCAAGGGACAAACATTGTTGAAAGAAAAGATAGAAAGGATGTTTAAGATAGCGTTAATTGATTCTGACAGAAAAATGTAGATACACCAAATCATTTTACAACTGTGATGACAAAATTTTTCACGTGCTTCATGATTCTATGAGGAATGTTTATCGAGTTACGCTAGGTAAATTTCGACAATAAACAACAAAATTTTATTTGAAAATATTATAGACCGTTTATTCCGTAAGAAACAAGTACCGTAATATTTTGTTATGTGCAATTATCTTTTTTTTTATTTCGAACTACTACTATGAGGGAACGGCTAATCCACGACAACCCCCTAGATGAGTTTCAATAAACTTTACAAATTTACACGATTTATGACATTTGGATAAGCTGATTTATTCTCCTTGCCCTAAATATGAATAAATTGTAAAAACCAAAACTGTGTTTATATTAGATAAAATGGTGATATGATATTATCTAGATTACAGAGTTGAACTTTGCCATGTCATGAGGATTTACACTGTGAAAACGGAAGAAGAGGTTTTATATGATTTATCAATATGTAGTTAATATTTTGTAATTTATTTCATATGAGATATTTTTTCTTTTATTGAAATCTTGTATGTAGTCATGGATAATGGTAGATAGCTGAGGAAGATCAACTTATTTGATGTAAAAATATGATACGTGTCTGGAATTCATATATTTTGATTTATCACATTTTCATACTCTTATGTTTGTTAATAAGTTTGCCTTAATCGAAAGTACAAAAAAGACTTAAGTCTTAAATATAAAAATAAGAAGATGTGGTATGATTCCAAATGAGACAACTCTCCACAAGACACCAAAGAAATAGACACAAAAATTAACAACTGTAGGTCACCGTACGGCATTCAACAATGAACACAACCTTTACCGCATAGTCAGCTATAAAAGGCCCCGAAATTACAAATGTAAATCAATTGAAACGTGAAAAATAACGGCCTGGTTTATTTAAAAATAAAAAACGTAAAACAAATATGATATAAGCCTCTTTCTAGATTTTGTACCGAACTGGTACTGACCATTATCATCAATACAGTTGCCAAATGTGGAGCTTGATATGTTTACACTTCCAGATCACCACAGTTTCTGCTTGTATTCGTCTTGCTCCGTCTTTAGTTTTATATAAAATTTGTCTTTTTGTTCGTTTTACGTTTTTTTTATTGTTTTGTCGGTTTCTTTTCGAATTACAAATTTTTATTGCTTTGTATGGAATAGTCTTATTTAGTGTTATGTAAAAGAACTCAAATTTTAAATTCTTCTAAATATTTTTTTTTGCGCATTTAATGATGTTGATTTTATGTATCCAATTTTCAATTGAAGATTATACATATTATCGGGATCATCATGCTTAGAGATTATTCATATCGTTTTGCATCAAACATTTTATCTTACAAACGAAGCCCTTAGTTTCTTTGGATTTTATATTTGCCTTGTTTGTTTACTTAAAAAAGCAAACGTGTGTCTTCATTGCCAAATGTTATGTACGTTTCGTCAAAACAGTGTAACGACATGTTGAAAAAAAATGGTTGCGCCTCTTAAATAACAGTCTTGTTTTTGAACTGTAATGAATCACAGTTTATGGCCAAACTCAGAGAGAAACCGTATACTTTGTATTTAATTGATAAATTCAACAACGCGTATCGTTATCTTGATCATATTGTTTCGGTAAATAGTCAAGGCCTGTCTAACTTTACTGCAATCTAGTGGTTGTTGTTCGTTGCTGTATATCAAATCTGTTTTTCATTTAATGTTTTGTACATAAATCAGGTTGTTAGTGTTCTTGTTTGAATTGTTTTACATTTATCATTACTGGCCTTTTATAGGTTATTATGCAGTATGGATTTTGTTCATCAATGAAAGCCGTACGGTGACCTATAGTTGTTTACTTCTATGTAATTTGGTTGAAAGTGGTCTCAATACCAATCATACCACATTGTCTTATTTTTATATTGTCATCTTCGACGTCGTTCGTGAAATCTTTGTAAGGCAACTGGGGTAAACCCGGCGATTTGCTAAAATCATCGGGATAGGTCAACGAAAATTGTTGTGGCCTAGCCAGTATCACTCAATTATGTGTCCAGATAATCTGTAACAAAAACTTTTGAATAGATAAATGATACCGTTGATCACTAGATTCTGAGATGATACTCTTCGGCATGGTTCTATGTTGAAAAGTCATGATGAGAGGATGTTTAGGATGAGTCATACTTAAACATGTTATTATATGTTACATTGAACTCTTCATAACGTTGAATGGTGCTGGACGCTAATTAAAGGCTTTGACGTGTTTTATGGCCTTTGAGCTCTACAAAATGTGTATATGTCTAACGCACAGGTCGTTCATGCAGTTGTCACTGATGAGTGCATTGCTAACCTCTGATCGTCGTTTCCCCATGTCTTTGTTACCTCCTCTTCGATTGATGAGTTTAGAATTTCCCATTGGTGTCTTCCGCCTTTTTTTTTACGTTTTGGTTGATTTTGATCTATCCTCAGACCCGTTGGTGTCAGCTTTTTCTAGTAATCTTTTGTTTGTTTTAGTTATTGCATCCACATTTGATAAATATTTTAAACATATAACTTTTCAGACAACACCTATGTCCTTCTCGTATGTGTTTGGGTGCAGTGTATTTCTTGTTTGCATCAATAATACAAACAATATAGGATTTAAAAGCAGAGGTAACATGGTAGGTCTACTGCGGCTCAGTATTTTCTTGTTATATGATCTTGATCACTGTCCGGCAGATGAGTCAACAAACACTCAACTCAAAATGATTCGTGTCCTCGTCCATCATGGTTATCTGTCCGTTGAATTTGAAAATTTCGCATTTGTTTAACCTCAAGTTTAAGGTATTTTGCATTTCAATCTTTCCTGGTGCGCATAGTGATACTACTGTATGTGCTTTTTTACATTTACTACCAGTAACGATAACCCTTCCGTCACACATACTTTCTTGCATCATAGTAAGCATGTACAGTTTTGAGAAACACAAGTTTTAAAATGTTATTATATTTGTTACGTTGAATTCCCCATAACGTTGAATGGTGTTAGATGCAAATTATAGGTTTTGAAGTGTTTAATGGCATTTGAGCTCTATAAAATGTGAAGATGTCTAAAAAACAGGTCGTCCATGCAGTTGACACTGTAGGGTGCATTGCTATCCTCTGATCGTCGTTTCCCCATGTCGTTGTTACTTCCTCTTCGATCGATGAATTTTCCATTGGTGTCTTCCGCCTCTTTTTTTTTTATTACATTTTGATTGATTTTGTTGTCTCCTTGATTTCAGCTTTTTCCAGTAATCTGGTGCTTGGTTTAAATATTGCATCGACATTTAATGTATGTTTTCAAATATTAAATAACCCTGTCATTGTATCTGATATTAGATAATCCTTTAAATATTGTTTGCTACATCTGAGTCATTGATGTTTCTCTTTATACATCATTCATAAACCTTCATCATCATGATCTATAAGCTATGAGATCAGTCTTTCATTTTGTAGTGTACGCGTCCCTAAGTGGTAATTTTATCTTAAAGATTATATCTCTTAGTACTGTCATCAGACAATGAAAAAGTGTTAATTTCTTTCGTGTACAATATCTAACGTCTACTTCGGATGATGTTCACCAGTTTGTATAATAGTCCCGGCGTCTACAAATATGTGTTTTAGTTAGTGAAGTTGATGTTTCTCTGAAAGCTGTTCTTCGTAGTCCGTTTTTTTTACTTGTGTTCGTCGTCTATTATTTTGAACGACGATATAGATACACGCAGTGAAATGAACTCTCCCATGTACATTGAACAACTTTCATATTTGAACATGTCTACGATATTGTTTTATTCATCAAGATGACATGCCAGACGTGTCATTGGTGAGGAATTTGGCGTGTTAAGTTTACTCTTTGCATTATTCAATTTACTTTTTGAATAGTGGATCACAGCATTTTAAATGTTTTCTTTGTCGATTTCGTATGATCGACTGGTTGTACCTTTCGTTCATACAACTTTAGTACAAAGGTGTTTACAAAAATCCTACATAATATCGTAAAGAGGTCAATGGTGCCACATCCTCAAAAAATCAATTGTTATCGGTCATGATCTTGATTTTCAAAATTAAGTTTGGCTATAAACTGTTAGGTTTGTTTCGCAGTGTTCACCATCTTGACATCGACAAGTTTCCTAATTTTCTCCATCGTCTTACCAAAATCAAAGTATTTTATGAACTTAAAAGTCATTTTCTGACTCGCTGGTGCTCTTTGATCTGACAACCAGTATGCATGTCAATACATTCCTTCAAACTTGCCCGTGTCAGAATCGGCTGACACTGTGTAGATCGTTTGGAACTATTTTCCCCTTTTTTATGTTTATTGTTATCATGTTTTGTCATCGTACGACTCCCTATGATAGTCGAACTCGAGCTGTTCGGTACCATTCTTGTACGTTGTGTACTGGTAGGGACAATATCATTTTGATGAGTCATGTCACACTGTCACAAAAGCGTGGTGTAATGAACCTGATCTAATCTAATTTCCCTAAAGAGTATGATAAAACCTATAATAATCCTAGTCGTCTAATTGTTTAGAGAACCTTATGTCCTTCTCGTAGGTGTTTTCGTGCAGTGTATTTCATCTGTGCTTACCCAATGATCTCTCACATAAGAGCCGGAGTAAAATGAATTGTGAAAACACTAGAAACAATATAGGAATTTAAAAACAGAGGTAAGATAGCAGGTCTACTGTGGCTCAATATTATTCCCAGATAAGTTAACAAACACTCAACTCAAAATGATTCGCGTCCTCGTCCATCATGGTTATCTGTCTGTTGATTTTGTAAATTTCGCATTTGTTAAACCTTAAGTTTTAGGTATTTTGCATTTCAATCTTTGCTGGTTCGCAAAGTGACAATACTGTATGTGCTTTTTTGCATATACTATCAATAACGATAACCATTTTGTCACCAATACTTTCTTGCATCATTGAAGGTATGTACAGTTTGAGAAACAAAAGTTTATAAAACATTTCCAAGCACGGTTTATCACATGTAACTATGGTTTACCGATTTTTAATCCCATAAGTATATTCAACAGATACAAATCAATGTAAAAACAAAAACTGAGAGTATCGCACGATATTCAAAATTGGTGTCGACAGGCTAAGCGTTTTCTACTATTTGTTACTTTGATTTTTATCTTTTGACCGAATTTTATTTTACGAATTGAAGATGGGTAAACTTGTTTCTGTACTGTTGTCTTTATTTCATAATGACAAATATATTGCTACGTAAGCTACACTGGTAAGGCTACAGGGCAAATGTGTAA